ATCTATTTACTACTAACAAGACGGAGCTTCACCGCATTTTGCACTTTTAGTTAGAAATTATTTAAATGACGTTTTTTTCAATCGGTGGATTGGAAGACCGAAAGGTGGTAGAACGATCGAATGGCCGGCTAGATCCCGGATTTGACGCCTCTCGATTACTTCTTATTGGGTTATGTAAAATCGAAAGTATATTTTAATAGACCAAACAGCATTGCTGATTTAAAAGTTAGGTTAACAGAAAAAATTAACAAAATAACTCCCGAGGTCGTACAAAATGTTCTACGAGAATTGCAAAATCGCCTCGGTTATTGTCAAGAAGTGAATAGTGGTCATTTTGAACATTTAATTTAATTGTAAAGTACATTGATAAATTCCATTCCAAATATTATGTGACATTATTATCGTCATTCAACCTAAAGTTTTGTGATAGAGGCTATCAAAATTTACATCTAAAATGACTTTTCTCAGTTATGATTGCACCTAACTTAAAAAATTTTATATTGCTGAACAGAGGACTAAAATCCCTTTCTAACAAGGTATTACATGACCCCTTTTGTTATTTAAAATTTTCTGGAGAGTGATCCAGACCCGTTTGAAGATAGTGGTAGTGACTGGGGAGAGGACAATTTGGAAACTGAATCCTCTGGCTGACTGAATTCGTCTGTTTCTACTGTTCGCTTTATCCAAGAGGAATATAACAGTGCAGTTCAGTCTGAACAAGAGGTAGAACCTTGTTCAGATGAAGATGATATTCCTTTATCACAAGTACGTAAACGTTCAAAATATGTAATAAACTTCAAAGACAAAAGCCTCATGGGTAAGAATGGCGAACAGAGTTGCTTCAAAGATCTAAAAGAACAGCTGCTAGGACTATCGTGCCTAACATTCGACCAGAATGTTACCATAACGACAAAAGACAAATTGAAAGCTTTATTTGGTATTTTAATTCATTCTGCGGCAAAGAAAGACAATTATATTATCAGCAAGGCATATGTTTGGTGCCACCATTTCAGGTAAGTTTTACAGATCTTTTATGAATTGTGATTGCTTTTTATTCCTGCTAAACTCTCTTAGATTTGATAATAAGGAAACAAGAGAAGAGAGATAGATAAATGATCCCTTTACAGACATTCGAAAAATTGGACATTTTTATCGATACATGCAGAACATTGTATTCTCCATCCTCATATGTCATATGTTCCGAAAAAGGAAACTAACTAAAGGTAACTATGAGATAACTGGTTCACATCGGTTTTTCTTGCTGACCAATTGTTACACGATCCCTATAAATTAACCATGATAGGAACCATGCCTAAGAATTAGAATAGGAGTTCTTGAAAGTAAAAGACCAAAACTGTAATATGTCAGTGTTTTGTTTCGATCGAAAAAAGACGTTAGTATCCTACATGCAAAAGAAAAACAAAGTAGTTTTATTACTTTCAACAATACATGAGGGAGCAGAAATCATAGAAGAAACCGGCAAGCCATCCATCATTCATAACTACAACTAAACCAAAGGTGTAGATATCGTCAACCAAATGGGTTTTATTATGAGTTCCAGCAGAAAAATACGGAGATAACCATTATGCGTATTCTATGGAATGATAAATATGCCCAGCATAAACTCTTACGTTATTTATACTTTTAATGTGTTAAATAAAAGCGAAAAACCTAAGATATCAATATATGATTGAGTTAAGCCTTTGTCTTGCAAAATCATAGATGCTAAACAGATACAACACCGTAAGTTTATGTCGAAATATTCGCCAATACATAACTAAGGAAGATGTTGCAAATATGACCCAGGAAAAGAACAGGAAGACTTGTTTCTACTGTCCATCCAAAAAAAGGCGTATGACCACCAACTATTGTAAGGAGTGCAAAAAGCTAATTTGCTGAGAACACCGAGGAGATATTTGTACCGTATGTTCCTAAAAATACCCAAATATGTTTGTTTCATAATTGTATGCTTTTGTTTTTATACTGAAAAACTTTTTTTTTTCTATATAATGAATAAAAAATTCAGAATACAAAAATATATGCTTTTTTCTATGGATTAGTAAAATTTACGATGTGTTTGGCAAAACGGTCACGTATTATACTCTTCTTACGAAGTAATAGTAAAATGCAACTTTTTTATGGAAAAATTGAATCAAACGATTTTTCCGGAATTTTCCAGGAGGTTAAAATAGCACAATTCTTATTATTTTATCAAGCAACCGCAATTAAAAAAAATTCAAGCTTCTGCGTGTCATAGAATTAGAAATCGAGATATTTGCAAATTTTTTCAGCGCGCTCCAATTTCAAATACCATTCTAAAAAATACGGAACTTGGACAGGTGTTATTTTACGATTACCATTTAACGGGTTATATATTTTTACTTATTCTCGGTATCTGTTCAATTTTCAGCTCTAATGTTAATAAACAATGAAAATATGATTTTAAGAAAAAAAAATTGCCATCTTGGTATGATTGTTCTAGAAGGTTCTTTTTTTTAAGATTGTGTTTTTTCACCGTCTTTTCAGTGCGTGAAAAATTATTATAAATTTTTATACACTAGAATGTGAGCTAAATGTCTCTAAGAGTCACTGTTTGGGCCTATGCAGTGTAATAATGGCTCTCCATGATAAACAAATTGAATAAGATGAAGAAAAAAATGTCATAATTCAACAACATCTTGGATAAAAAGTATGATTGATGCCTACGTCATAACGAGAATAATTTTTGGAGATTTTAATGGAAAAATTGGCAAAGAGCAATTTTTCCAGCCAACTATAAGATGTGAGAGCTTACATAGATAGTCAAACGATAACAGGTTGAGACTAATAAACTTTGCATGTACCAAAAAACATATTAGGAGGAACAAAAAATCCTCATAAAATGACACACAAAGAAAGCTACATATAAAATCCCTGATAATGAAACTGTTAATAAGATAGATCATATTCTGATAAATGTAATAAGAGCCAAAGATGATGATGGTTTAAAATCAGTGACTGGTAAGTTAAACTCAAGTATGCTATGACTAAAAGATAAAAAATACAAAAACACTAATTTGTAAACAAAGTACCCTATGGCTGCATATTTAGGTGGTACAAAAACAGTGATTAGTAAATTAAAAACCACCTACTACATGGTTGCCAATTTGGGGGGCGGGAGGGGGTCAAAAAACAGTGATTAACACATAAAACCCATAATATCCTATGGTTTCAAATTTGGTGCTACAACAAATACTGAAATTTTGACCAAGTCAAGACAGAGTTCTGAGAAAATATATCGGACTCAAAATTCCTCTTCTGAGTAATCATTTGATGCCAAACTTAGCTGGAAGGTACACATCAAGAAAAAAGGGAAAAAACTAAATATAAGATCAAAAAATGTATTGGCTAGATGGAATAAACTCAACTCTGTAGATTCATAACCTGTATGGAATTATGAAAACCCACTTTGATATGTGCTTAAAGAAGCAATATAGCAATAATCTAAAAATTCCTGAACAAATACACATTCTAAATACTTCTTGGCACATAACAGACAGTGATCTCCCATCTTATGGGATTTTTGAGCTTTTCCACATTGTGAACTGGTATTAAATAAATCAAACTTGAATGGTTTGTATCTTAATTTTTTAATACCTTGCAATTTTTACTTGAAATTTTAGTAATGTGTGTTTTTTCTGGCCTAGTAATACTACCTACCAGTAATAAATTCTAAGTTAATATCTGTATACAATTTTCATAAATTGTCTTTTCTATTTATTGATTGTTACAATTTGCAGCATCATTTTTATGATATATCATATGAGCTCCTTATTTCCTTTTTCTTTGCGTTTTCTGATTTCTTCTTAAAGCTTAATATTATACACCTATAAACAATATCACTTCAAATCTTCCTTAAATAAACCTTCAAACATTTGTCAAAAATAATTTAACCAGTGATGTACAAAAATGGATTATCACAGAAAACAACACAAAAAGCTAGAGGCTACAGATATGGATATGTTTAGACAATCTTTAAGAATATTTAAAAGGGACAGAATTAGATATGATGATTTGATACAATATTATGACAGTATGTGGCAGTATAGAAAAAATTTGCTCTGCACACCAGCAAGGTTTATTGACTGAGAATTTTAATGTAACTGTGGTGCCGGAGAGGTCACTATGGCGTGAACGTAAAGTATTACAAAATCCTCTACAGCAAGCAACATGTTAAGAACAGGTATAGAGAACAAACAGTAAACATTGCACAGACATATAAAACAAATGGATGAAAGCAGATTGCCTAAACTGACCATGTAGTGTGTAAACAAAACCACTAAGAAGTGAAGAAAACCTAATAAACATGGAAAGAAGGAATGGAACAGAAGAAATATTTGACATTTTGAAACATTTTAAAATAATCTAATTTAAAGGAGTAACTTTCTTAGTAGGAACATAATACATGTATTCTGTTGATATATAGTTGTAAAATATAAAAATCAAAAGATAAAACCAAATCTAATGAATGCAGGGTCTGTAATTAAAGAATGGAAGACAGATATTACATTTGAAAAACATAATAAAACACATAAACTCTTTATGAACGAAGGGCAACTAAAAGAAGCATGCTATAAGAACAAGTGCACAAGCTGAACTTAATAAATATACAAAATTGGATAACTAAGTCTCAATGTCAAATCTGAAAGGGCACCACAACATTGTTTTCAATTTCACACAATAACGGGAGATGGCTCTAAAAGTCTTGGAAGATAAGTAATTTTGTTTGCTATGTACAATAACTTCAGTTAACTTTTTAACATATTCTTAAGATAAACTTCTAATTTGAATTGTGTATTAATTTCTACTATGAAAAATAAACATGAAATATGGTAAACTAAAAACTTACATGTTTGCTAGGTGGTCAGAACTTTTAATTTTGTCCATACATTAAACTTTACAAGAAACGTTTTGTTTAACTTACTTTAGTGTAGTGTAAACTCAAAAAATATAATACTTACATTAAAAATTTTGTGTCACATACTGCTACAAAACAATTTTTCCCACTTCCCAAGGTAAACACTACAAGGTCAAAAAGTTCTGCTTGATACTGAACTGCTTTCAAATAATTCCGACCCAACAGAGGAAACACAACAACACTAAAAGTAAATGCCAATGAAAGTAAAACCAAAAGATTTGCTTTACATAATACGTGAAGTCACAGACTAACTTTCTCTTTTACTGTACAGCATAATAGGAATTCCTTTTCCGTGTGCTTGTTATAATCGATTGAATAATACGTGACGGGTTAATAAACTTACCAACATCGGTTTCTGTTCCTCAGGATTACTTGAAAATCCTCCAAGACACAGCAAACAAAATCTCTATCACAAAATATCTTATGAAACTTTGAAGATAATGTACTTATTACTTTTTCGACGTCTGCGTTTATATTCATAGCATGATCTTATCGATCCATAACTTCACTTATCAAAAGCTAAATTATAAAAATGTATATGTATATACAAATTTATATATGTACAATTTTTTACTGTATTATCCAAGCTGAAAGGTGGATAATTTAAAACAAAAGTTATTATCAAAACAACACGCTCATGCTCTCACTTGCGCCATTTGTCAAATGAGCGTTAGAGGTGGACGCAATTGAAGAAATCTAAATATATAACACTTTCAAATTAGATGACCTAAATATTTAGAAAACAAAGAGAAAATATGCTATTTAATTTTATATTACATTGAATACAAATGTTTACAGACAATGACGGAAACAAAGGGTAGATAAAACGAGTTATTAAAAAAAAAGTATTTCATAGGTGTTTTTGATGGTTTTCACCAAAGAATATAGTCTATATTGTTTGGTTTTACTTTTGTTATTATTTTATTAGAGTATAGTCGATTTAACTTGATATCCAAGAAATTTTAATATACATCGTTATTTAGGAGCTGTCATTTAGCTTCTAAATACTCTTAACTTCAAGGTCACATTAGATTACAAGTAAAATAACAGTGAATATTACAGTTCAGGAGCTCTTTTTTTATAAGTACAAAATTGAATATTATGGTTACATACATTGGAATGCAAACGTGGACCCGGTAGATATCATTGTAAAGTGAGCCAAAATACCTATTTGAAAGCTGTCTTTACCTACTTACTTTTCCTAGATTAAACGTATTTATCTAATAATCCTTTAAAATATTGAGAGCTCGCCTAGATGAGGAATATTCCAATGTTAAAAAATACAGGGGTACTATTAAAAATCGTTGATGGTGCTTAGTCGATATATTCCATTTTAGATCAAAGAAGGCAATGATGAGTATATAACTAGACCACATTTAAAGAGACCGATGCATTTATTACAAGAATGAAAAGCCTATAGATAAAACGAATTAACTATGTATCCAGATAACATCTTCAAAAATTATATCGCCAATACCCTGTCACTTGAATTCGCCTTTTCATAGGCAGCGATTAAGTCAGGAGAGTGTATTCTTGTCTCAAATCGCGCTCTTTGTACTGCCTTCCCTTCTTATGGAGTATTTGGTCCTTTTGCATTTCTTTGCCAAAAGTGAAGGATAGCTGATTGGCTGGTTCAGCTCTTCTGTTTTATTTTTTCGAAATTTCCTCTTTCCTCTGTACAGTCTTTTCCACTCCTCTTTATTTCTCGCTCTCCATCTCAGGCCATTTCTTTCATTATCTCTTGTTAAGTTCTTCTCCATCTATTATTCGGTCTTTATCCTCTTCTTCTTCCGCCTGGTTGGTGCATTTGAGTGCATACCTAGGTATACTTTTTTTTACATCTTTAAAGAGAAGCAGGAAAATCTGCATATAGACACATGTGACTCACGCAGGTAGTGTTGGGTTCCTAATACCCTAACGAAGTTGTGCCAGAACGAGATGGCCTAGGAATTCGTCCCGTCACCACTCCGAGACGATCGGCGTTCAACTAAAAATCTCCCCTCTTTCACTCCAGACATCAAGATGGAAGGGCTGGTTAAGGCAAAATATCTCCCCTGATGCCCTGCTATCACCCATTTTTTCTCTTTCCCACACATTCATCGATGCCTAATTATACTATTTTGGTCTTTCCGTAGTGTATGTTCAATCTATTTGCATTTCCTTCTTTTAATTGTGACTGTTATTTTTTCTTGTTGTGATCTCAATAGTTCTGCGTTTGTTTTCTCATAAGGCCAGTATATTTTTTAGAATTTTTCTGAACGATTTAATTATAAACGTTTTAAATTTTTTTTGTAGTTATTTCTTAATATCTCTAAGATTCTGCGCCGTGCAATAATAAAGTACGTATACCAAATAAGGCCCACCTATCAATTATTGCATTTTTATGTAATATATTAGGAGATAGGATGTCGGGAAAAAATGCGTAACATGCTTCAATTCTAGTAATATAAAAATAAAATAAATAAGAATAAGTAAAATGATTTCATAATTAGTATTATCATAATCAAATAAATTATTAACTTTTATAGTAGGATCTTGTTAGGAACCCATCTTCCAAATATGGCCCATACCTGATCCCTAATATGGCCCACCCAAAACTTTAATTTTTTAATTTATGAAGCATGTTAATGGCATTGACAAGATTTACCAAATATTTAATGAACATATAATTAATAAATGATATGATATCACTTCTCTCACCATGTACATACGAAATTCAGCACTTTGTCTTTGGATGTCAACCCTACACATTCTTCATGAACATACTTTTTACATTTTCTCAAAGTATTATGTCAGCTGTTCTGTCCTCACGGATGACAAAACCAGTTAACGACTTTTGATGTTTCAGTGCCGCTCGGAGCAGAACAGTCGTTTTCATTGCCAGAGTTCTTCAGACGTTTCTGTTTCGTCGGAATTATTTTTCCTTTCCCAACTGAAACCTCTCAAGAGGAATTATTTACTTCTACCATGGCACTCTGTTGCTTTTGTCTTTCAGCGAATAGGTGCTTACTTACTACTTGCTCCTTATAGTTTAGTGCTTTCTGTCTAGGGGATGGTGTTCTCAAAATTTGATGAAACAGTCGAATTCGTCATGGTTTTCGCTATCATCATTCAGACTGACGTCACGTGAACCATCACATACAGAAAATTGCTCACTTTCCGAAGAACTAGGTTTGCTGGATTGGAGTCACCTTTTTCGGAAACTCCTTTGCACTGTTGGAATCTCTGATGCTTCAGCAGGTTCGAGATCCGTTGGCATGCCCTCTTCTGGATACAAATACATAGCCAGGAATAGATTTTGGATCATAAGGATAAATCCCAGTAGCTCGGAATTCAGATGTGACATTAACTGGGGACGCTGCTTTCGGCCATACCTTGCTGAAGATTTTTCCAAATACCCGTCTATTCATTACTGTTTTCTTCCCCGTTATTTGTCGACCAATGTAATTGGACGTCGTAATCCCAATATGACTCGAATAGCTTAAATAAAGACTTGTCCATTGGCTGTAGATCATGTTAGGTAAGCAGTACAGTCTAATGCTCTGACTTTCAGAAACGCAAAAATAACTGGATCTAAATATGATGATGCTCCATCAAAAATCAGAATAACTTCTCCTGCAGGATTGTATTTGGCAAAATGATGTACCCACTTGATAAAGGTCAATGTACTCATTGAGACCTTGCCGGTCATTTCTACCGCTGTGCCAGGTGGCAAATAATTTTCCTATTCTGGCTTGTGTCACTTTCCTTTGAAAATGATCGTTGGAGGAATGACCTGTCTAATTGCATTTCCACGTGATAGATACATTTTCCTCATGTTTAGGAGCAACAAAGTGTAGCCGTTTTTCACCTTTCTTTGCCAAAACTTTAGGAGACTTGTGGAGAGACAGGCGGCAACCCTTTTCATCCATATTATAGATTAGCTGTCGTTTGTCAAATGCCTCTAATTCAATCATGGTATTTTTTAGTTTCTAGAAATGATGATCGACGATAAACTTATTCAATTTTGCAGCTTTTCCAGGATTCATATGTTGCACCTTCCTTCTGGCAACCTCTGGGTTCCTTAGTAGGAATAACTTGAGTTATTTGCGTTTAGCCAAACATTTTGTTTCATTGAACGGATTCTGCAATTTTTTTTTTCACAGAACACAAATACATAGAGCCGGAGAACTTTAGCTGTAACTGGGTACCTAACTTCAACAAGCCAAAAAAAGATAAAAGTTCTCTTTCTTGATATTCTTACAAGCAAGGTTTCCGTCCTAACTTCGTAGTTGCTACACCGCTACTTACGTGTTTACGTCACGTACGTCTGGGGATACCGTAGTAAGTTTTGGATGCAGTTCTGACTGACATCCCTTTATCAACATCTCCCATCAATTTTTTTCAATCATTCTCCAGGTTGCACGTTTTTTTTTAATCAATTTAAAAATAAAAAATACACTCACACTCCCGAATTGTAGGTATGCTTATATTTATAATTATTTTCAAGAATCATTTAGGCTTACAAGTAAACTGCCGAAAAAACAGAAAAAAATTTAACTTCCATTATAGATTGTAAAAAATGTGTTTTAATATTGTTTATTCCATTTATTTTTTTTCTTCTATGATAGTTGTATTATTGTATATTTTGGGTTTTTTTCCTTATGTAATTCTTATTCTTTATATTTAAAACTGTAAGTGGTCCCTTGTAGCACAATAAATAAATAAATATTATTTATTTCATTCCACTTGGCTTCTGCCGAGATGTATTACCAATTGGCCATACATTGGAGATATTACCAGGAGTGTGGCGAATAAGGCCCAATCGGGCCTTGTTTGGAGCGCTATGGAACTTTATTCGTTGTGTGCCCTTCATAAAGAAAAATTTAAAAAATACGAAATTGATGAAATTGCCAAAAATCGTGGAATGACAGTACTTAGATCCCCACCATATCATTGTGAATTAAACCCGATTGAACTGGTATGTGCACAGATAAAGAGTGAAGTTTCAAGAAAAAATACCACTTTTAAAATTCATGATGTTAAGCAGTTGTTTTTGGAGGCCGTAAATAATGTAAAACCTGAAAACTGGGAAAAGGCAAATCACACTATTAAAGAAGAGGAAAAAATGTGGAAGCTGGACAATATTACTGATAAAATGATCGAGCCAGTTATTATAAATCTTGGTTCTGAAAGTTCATCTTCTGAATCTGATTTGGATTTGTAACAAGTAGCTGTAAGTTTTATATTAATATTTTTATTCATCTATTTAACATACCTTAGACGGTTTTAAAAACTCTTTTTCTCTTTTATAATTTTTAAAAATTAAAAAAAAAGGGGATTTTTTTAAAACCCTTTTTAATGTAGGCCAGTCAGTTCTAATATAGTGTGTGATAAAAGAGGTCACTTTTGTTTACATACCCATAACACTTTATAATACTGAAATAATTCATTTATTTTTTACAATTATTCAAAGTAATTTTTTATATATATTTAATCTATGGCTATGAATGAGCTTTATTAGGAGCCATCGGCTTAACAGTAGCTGAAAATCGTGGTCTGTTAATAACTTTGTAACATATTTATAACAAGAGGGATGTAAACAGATGTAAAATACCTTACAAATAATCAGACAGCTTTGCTTGTTTTATTGCGGCAACAAAAATGAACATAAAATGGCAGGCACAAAAATGGATTCAAAATTAGATGTCTCATCCACTAGATGGCAGCAACTAACTGATATTAAGAGCATTTGCACTTTTTTAAATTATTTATGTAAAAAAACGAGGGTGGACCTTGATATGGATCGGGCATTATTTGGTAGGTACATGTACCCTATAGGCTCTTAATAGCTGTTAAATATTTTCATTTTGATTAATTCTGATATATCTTGTGTGATTTTCTTTAAAGAGTTATATGCATGTTATGTCTACTATTCTTTTTTCTACATCTGACCTACTACCTCTTTTTTCCATGATTAATCCCAGATATGTAAAATTATCTACTTCCTCTATTTGTCTTCCATTTATTTTAATTTTACATTCTTGGCGTTTGCTTGTTAAGTGTTTCGTTTTTTCTGTATTTATCTTAAGGCTCATTACATTAGAGTATTTTGCAAGCTTGTCAATCTTCTTCTGCGTATGGTTGGTATGTCTAGTTAGGAGAAAAATGTCGTCTGAGAACTCCAAGTCTTCCAACTAATTGTGTAAGTTCTATCTAATATCTATTTTTATCGCTTACTTTCTTCATGATCCAATTCGTTATGACTAGGAACAGTGTCGCATCCTTCACTCCGCTTTGTATAGCTATATTCAGTTCTTTTGTGTTTTATTGCGTAATGTTTTAGTCTGAGGGGATCTTGCTATTTTTTCGTATATTGTCGTGTAACAGTTTTTATTCGTCTGTAAGTTTGTAGCTAATGGTATTGAGTTCCATGCTGTTCACTGTACAACCGTGTTAAAATGTTCTACTGCATGTTCGATCTGTTTGTCTTTAATGGAATGTGTAAATTGATTTGATTGTTTACTTGATATCTAAAATAATTCCAATTTGTTTTATTGTTATGTAATATGCAGCTAGGGTTATGATAACCGGTGAATAGTCAGAGGATAAATCAAAACAAGACTTCGGTTTAAAGTATTTTTCGTTTATTCCTTTCACTACAGCAAAATCGAGAACATCTAGAATTTTACTTACTAGAGTAGTTGGCTCTCTTGTGGATACTATGCTTAGGTTATCTATTAGTATTTCTTTATGCAGTTCACGACCTTTGGTATTATTAAGTTTGGGAGTACCAAGAACGAATCCTGCACTAAGGTCAGTCATGCGGCGTCCTGGACTGAGATGTCTTGTAAAGACGAAAAAAAGACAGCACTGATGATGGAATATTAATTCCGAAAACGTTCTGTGATGTAGCCTGATAGGGTTTTTTAATATTATACCTTTTCTAAATGGATTTTTAAATAAATTTTAAAATACAGGGTGTTTCATAAAAAAACCATCTTTATGCAGTAGGTACAGTGTTGTGGACGACCCTGACCCTAACACTATTTGATCACCTTGTATAGGGATAAATATAAATTGTAAAGGTAAAATAACAATAGTGATATTATCAACAAAATATATTTATAAAATTTGTATATTTATAAAACTTTTACGTGAAAAAACGTGTAAAATAATACTCTTATTTAGGAAGAGGTAGTGCACATATTTTGTTATGTGCGAAAATTGCCAAAAATCCAGCCAACGTAATTCCTATACTATCCCCAAAAGTTGTAATAGCCATGGAGAACTGCTTGTTTTCTTCAGAGACCTACAAAAGTAAGATATTATAAAGTTAGTCAAGAGAAATAAAATTTTTCTAGTAACACTGACCTCTCCAGGCAAATGACAGGTGTGTTTTAAGTAGTATGGACCCCTATAACAAGAACCTATGTTTCGCGCAGTCAATTTTTTTGACTTATTAGTTATTAACAAATTAAGGTTAAAAAACGGCCAATTTTCGCTCTTTTTAATTGTTTCTATCCTTATTTATTGCTTAGAAAGTTGCAACATAATATAAATTTCGGTTTTTTTTATAAATGTTAATAAGTCTTTAAAAATGAACTTACACCTTTCATAGTACATGGAATATTGGAACTTGTGGTGCTTAAAATACGATAAAAAGTTATTTTATTTGTTTATCTAAAATTAAATTTTTTTTGCAACAATATATTATAGAAAATAATGAAGTTACAGTAATTCTACAGGTAACTTATAGAAGAAGAAGATTTATCCTATCAATATTATTAAAAAAAAAAAATGAAAAAACATAATTTAAAATATTGCAAAATCATTTTTCTTAAACAATTAAAATAACTTTTTAATCATTGCCAACACGAAACAGTTGTCAATTTGGGGCAAAGTTAGTGTCTTTTTTTTTAATTCAGAGCAGCTTTGTTTAGAACAATTAAGAGATCTAATTAGTGTCATTTTAAGAAACATACTTTAAAGTTTTAATGTGCCAAATTAGAAAAATATTGCCTTTCAATGGAATCGTCCACAGAGCTTCAAAATGTGGTCCTCAAATTCGGCTGGCTTTGAAACTCTCGGTAGCGCTGGAGGGAGAAGGAGCTGTTAACTGTATCTCTGGTTTTTGTTTATGAATTTCGCCGTTTAACAATTTTTTTCACTTTTTTTTTTGTAATATTTGAGATAATTTTTATTGTAAAACATAAATATTTATGATTACTTCTGATAATATTGGAACATGAACCCTAGAAAGCAATTTTATTTTAAAATGGAAAATAACATTGCCTCCCTCTGGTTTTAGCAGAAAAAACATATGGACACTGTGGCGGCGAAGCTTAATCATCTATTGCACATGGACAAAAACATAGAAGAAAGGGTCGAAAATTATTTTTATAAATATCTTAGAGTAAACAAAGCTCCACAAATTTACTATAAATAAATAAAAAACTGAATTGATTTCTGAGTAGGATACGAAGAGGAAAACGGTTACATGTTACATGGTTAAATGCATGGCTACATAGTTACATATCTTAGCAGAAATATCATTCTCACCGTGCAATAGAGAGAAAGAGACCTACAACTACAGTTGTAGGGAGACCTCAACTCAACTAGGACTATGTCAAAAATCCAACGTCGAATTATTAGTAGAAATCAAGAAAGATGTTTGCCGAAATACAGGAAAACCTGCATTGCCATTCAGGATCAGGTTTCTTCAACCAAAATCTACTTGAAATATATCATCAAAGATTCTTAGGTACACATTGACAAGTGCTGATAAAATGTCAGGCTAGGGAAACGATTCAGCATCTTACCGGTGACTGTCAGACATTTGTCGCAACTGATAATAAGGAACGGCATGACTTAGTAAGAAAGATACTCCATCACTAGTAAAGTTAAAAAACTGGGACTTTCTACCATCTTCCGTATTATAAATATGTCCCTGAGAGTTTACTTGAAAATGACAACTATAAGCTGTCTACTCACAGACCAACTAGTAAGACATAGGCTGGATCTCAAAGTACTGAACAAACAATACAGACAAAAAATCGCAAGTATGAATAAAGATCTTGAGATGCAAATAACGAGACAATAGATAATGGAAAGTATCCAACTCTGCCTCTGGTAGTTGCTGGGCAAATTCAGTAGTTCGGTAACTATCGGTGCCGGTCCCAAGCCCAGATAAAGGAAAAGAGTTTGCTTTAGGAAGGATATCCTGCAGTAAAAACCTTGCTAAAACCATCGAATAAAGGAATATAGAAAGCAGTATAGAGGCTAGCGCGTTCCCCGTAAGCGACGCGGCCTCCGCTGACCTCTGCGAAAAAGGAGCTAGGGCTACCCCTTAGAGGATGGAAGGGCTAAAGATGCTAGTCCTGAGAATTGCAACTTTCAACGTAGGAAGCCTGACAGGTAAAGGAAGACAGCTCGCTGATTTCATGCAGAGAAGAAGGATTGGTGTACTTTGCGTGCAGAAAAATCGTTGGAAAGGTAATAAGTTAAGATATCTTGATGATGGATGCAAGTTAATTCGTAATTCGAACAGACATGGCAAAAATGGAGTAAGTATGTGGAGTATTATTTTGATCAAGTGGAAGGAACATCTTGTAAGGGTAACCTGAAAAGTGATAGAATAATGAGTACCTTCGCTCCACAGGTAGGGTGCGAAGAACAGGAAACGGAAAAAGAAAGGGAAAAGCTGAGGAAGAAGAAGAGAATGGAAAGTATCCAGACGATACCTATTATCCTCTTAACTACTGGTGTTATTCATGAGTCTCCTACGAAACATCAAATTGCTGGGACTTATGTTGGGAACTGGATCATAGGTATCTGGAATGAGTGAATTTTCCCTTTAGATAGTGAGACAGCCACACAGTTTAAAACTGGAAAATAAAAAACTAAAGGAACTGGAAACCTCCAAAACAATTTTGAAGGTTTCAAAATAAGTGTCTAATAATGGGGACAAAACACAGAAAAAGTGAAAGATTTATTTGAACTATCACTTAAAACCAATAAGAATTTTAAGTCGGTCATCCAAAAACGTTTAAACATACATTAAGAAGATTAAAATCTTAAGTTTAAGTAAGAGCAATGTTTTACTTACTTCGGTTGAAATTCTGTAAAAGGTGTTAACATAAGAAGAGCCTCCCAATAGTCCTTCCCATAAAACTAGAGCTACAACTATATAGAAGTTGGGGATATAGTAATATATTGCTTCTGTGGTAAATATCACAACGTTGATGCCCTGAAATTAATTAATGTTAAATATATTTATATACCATACCACAAAACACACAAATACAGACACAGAATCCTGAAATAAATAAAATATATTTCTCAGAGGAATGAATTAATGTACCTGGAACAGTGTCATCCACCATGTTTGTTTAATATGGAACAAGTTAACAGAAGATCTGGAAAAGAACACTCCAATTTGGTAAGTAACTTGAAACCATCTGTATTGAGCGTCATTTGATATGCTCGAGTTTTTAATCCTGATTAACTCAAACTAAAATGCAAATAAATTTTAACTTTTTATATACTTGTGGAACAAAAAACTTACAGTTCCTTGATTAATAAAATACTCAAAAACGTATACTAATGAAAACGGTATAATATACTTCAGCAGTCCAGGAATTAATTTCAGTTTCTTTATAAAAGCTTTCTTTGGGTTCTTTAGCTCATCGCTGTTGACAAGATTCTGAATTTCTAATGCATGTGCAATGTCCTCTTGGGAAGGAGATGGAAGCAAAAACCAAAACCTAAGTAATTATAAGATATTTTAGTAATATTATTTAAATATTTTTTTTTATTATTGACTATGTGTTAATACTAGAATTAATAAGACAAACTAATTTGGATTTATTGAAAATTTTAGTTCTTTAGATTTTAAATACAAAAACGTGTTCAACTGCTTTTTTATTTTATACTTACGCTAAACCCATGGCGATAGGAACTACTAGAAGTATCTGTAAAATCGTCCTCATTTCTAAATTGACTTGAGCAAGAATGGCATACGTAGCAGCTCCAACTACTCCTGCACCACCTGTTCCAGAACTCCATGTCGATATTACATTTCTAAAAAATATTCTCATCAATGAGTATTTGTAGATTTTATTACAAATAATTACTGAATGTATATATATATATATATATATATATATATATATATATATATATATATATTATATATATATATATATAAGAAATACTGGATATTATTGACTGTCGATATAAACAAATAACACAGTTTATTAGGGTTACAGTCAGAATATTGGCCGGGATGTTAAAAAAACCCTCTTTTTGACTTTTTTGTCGAGCTTTCGGAATGGTTTTATGAATGAGTTTACTTTCCAGTCTCTGCATGAGTTAATATACACCAGTAAAACATGCCATCAACCAAGTTTTACTATTTTTACAATAAATTTTAAAAATTTTATAATGTATTCTGTTCATAATTGTATATTTTAATGTTTTAATGTGTGTTATAAATGCTGAGTGTCAATGCTTATATAAATAATCTCAACGACTAGTAAGTTACACTGAAGAATTGTGATATTTTTAAATATTTACATTTTTGTCTTATTACAGTGTCTTGAAAAAGGAATAAAACCATTCCGAAAGCTCGACAAAAAAGTCAAAAGAGTGATTTTTAACATCCCGGCCAATATTCTGACTGCAACCTAATAAACTGTGTTATTTATATATATATATAATATTATATATATATATATATATATATATATATATATATATATATATAATGCTTTCTGTGGTTTTCCGGGTTTGACTCCGCGTTGAATAATTTTGGTTTTGAGAAAAACTATTTATTTTGACGTTTCGGCAAGGTTGCACTTGCCATTGTCAAGTCAGGTAGTGACGCTTCTTGCTGATGCTTGAAGAAGTCTTCTTGAAAAATATCTGCAGAGACAAAATAGGAACAGAAGAAGGTAGCCATTCACTTTTCAGGCTGGAGAAAAAGTTTTGGTAAGGGCATTAAGAGTATCCATTCTTACAAACAATATTTGTTCAAAGCTTATGCCATTATTCGAGGGACCGTACATAATAAATAATGAAAATGGAATCAATCTTCTTCTTCTTCTTCACGTGCCATCTCCGCTACGAAGGTTGGCTATCATCATGGCAATTTTGACCCTGGAGGCTGCCGCTCGGAACAATTGTATGGAAGTGCAAGCAAACCACTCCCTGAGGTTTCTCAACCACGACATTCTTCTCCTACTATGCTGCGCCTACCTTCAATCTTTCCTTGCATAATTAGTTGTAACAGTTGATATTTATTCCCACGTGTAATATGTCCCAGGTATTGTAGTTTCCTCATTTTAACACTCAATACGACCTCCTTTTGTTTGTTCATCCTGTCTAATACAACTTGGTTAGTTATCTTATCCTTCCAGGAGATTTTTAACATTCTTCGGTACGCCCACATCTCAAATGCCTCCAGCTTACCCATACATTGCTTATTTAGGAATATTATGGAATCAATAATTATGTACTAAGACAAATGGATTCAGATAATATCCGGGTAAGTTTCAATATCTACGACCTGTACAAATACCATGAATAGGAAGGTATTTTAAAATGGTATACCATAGGTAGGGAAGACAGTAGATAAAAAAGGTGTCGGTAATATATGTAAGTGAATAGTGGGAAAAGTTGTTTCGAAAGTTTCTGTGATAGCAGCCAAGCAGTGCAAAACAGATATTTTCAAACAAAGTATAAGTTTTTTTAAATACAACAAACTATCTGAGGCGAGGATGTCGATGATTTTTTGAGAGATCACCAGATTTAGAGAGTTGTAAGCAGCGTTTGATTGTCAATATTTTATTTAGATAAGACATAATTTCTTTGGGCAAAGATCGACCCAGGAGCAGATACCTTGAAATATGAGAAGCAGGATTTTAAGAAGAGGAAGCTCCGTCAATTTCAGATTAAATTTTGATTTTTTAAAATTTTCAAAACACAGTCATAGGGAGATAGAGGTGTTTTGTAAAGTAATAGGTTTGTGAATAAAAACAGTTTTTCTTATTTGATTCATAGAATTAAAGAACCAGTTCGAAACATATAATCTGTATGTTTGGATTTTTACAATTTAGATGTAATAATTTTGGTCTCTTAGAAAATTTTATTCATTTTATATAGCAGGTATATGAATTTTGTGTTGATACAGTATATTGATGAAATTTAAATTTGATATTTATGTGTATTTTTATTATTCCCTTTGCTTCCTTACTTGCAAATACAACAACAGAGATACTGAGCCACGAGAATACAGGGAGACAAATTGAGTTATAAATAAGGTTGTTGAAGGAATATATATTATAATTTAAAATTCAGCGGCAATTTCGGGGTGCTACTACTAGTACTGTTAGTTGACATTATCAATAAGTATGCATGGCTTCAAACAACTCTATCATTAATGTAGATATCAACATAACAATGCCAGATGATCACACTGTTTGTGCTGACATTAAACTCAAACGATTCAAGAAAATAAACCATAGTAATTACTCTGAGGTACACTACACCAATCAAATCAAGGTGAAATTGAAACCTTGTATACTCCATTGATAATGATTTCGTAAAATTCCAGTAGTAGCTTAAATTTCATTGCAATTTTAACTACAATTTAATCACAAGTTTTGGACTTATATGTGGCCTTGCACTATGTACGTAAAACTAGAAATAACAGATTTTTAAGTTGTAATAGTGTTCTTGTAGGTTTGCGACTTATTACAAAATAAACTTACTTATCATAAAAACTACTATACTGCATATAGGTGACTTCTCCCAACCCCGATGCCAATGAGGTCATAACTACACCTAATAATGCGATAACCAAGGTTTCGCTGTAAGCAACACACAAAAATCCTGCAGAGGCAAGGACAACGCATAGCCCTACTCTTATGCTGAAAAAGAAAAATATCATAAAAGAAAAAAAAATTATTATATAAAGGCAATCATTTATATTATATAAAGCCATCGAAAAAATCGCAATTGAGGTAGGTCACGAAATCAGACATATACGGCTTGGTAGTAGCCTAGTCACTGTTTTGGTTATGGTTGGTCAATGTAAAGTTTGGTTAGGTCTATATTTTAAGAAATATTAACAATACTTATTAATTATTAAAGAATATTACTTCTATATAGATGCAAAAGTAAACAGCCAGTCGCAAAGTGTTAATTACTGTTTAATTAAATAGTGTCCCAATCAGAAATACATAGGCAATAGTGCAGTAAACAAACAAAAAAGCTGAAAAAATCTTATGCAGGCTTGAAGGTTCTAAAAGGTATATAAGGGATAGCTGATGACAAATCCTTGAAGATGTACACTTGATTTTGCTTTCTTTTTTAAACAATCATAAAAAATCATTGTTCAATATTACCTTCTTCTTAGAGTGCCGTCTCTCTACGGAGGTTGGCAATCATAATGGCTATTTTTATTTTAGAACTTGCTGCTCTAAACAAATCAATCGATCGATCTACATTGATACCAATCACGTAGATTCTTTAACCATGAGTTTTACCTTCGGCCAACAGATCTTCCTTGAATCTTTCCCTGTATTATCAGTCTCAAAATTTCATATTTTAGTCCCCTCATCATGTTGCCTAGGTATTCCAGTTTTCTGGTTTGTAAAGTGGTGATTAGTTCTGGTTTGTAAAGTGGTGATTAGTTCTGTTTTTTTACCAACCCTCTCCAGTACTTCTTTATTTGTAATTCTATCAGTACATGATATTTTCAATACTCTGCGGTATAACCAAAGTTCGAAGGCCTCGATTCTTTTTAAATTACATTTTTTTAATGTCCAAGTCTCAATATTATCGATAGTACCTATAGATACTATCCAATATTCTTGGTATTGTTTTCCATAATCAAGCTTCAGTTTTTAAATATTTTCGGTCAAGTTCGAAAGAAGGAAATACTTTTAATGAAGACTTGTGCCGTGCATTAATCTCTTCAAATATACCGCTTTCAAAATTATCAAATAAAAAAATTATCAATCATATTTCCATTGTTTAGTAACATTAAGAACTGAAAATTGAACAGATTATAAACGGAGATCTAAATTTTATGATCAAGTTTATGGATGGCATGTACCGAGGAGTAAAAAGATATACCGCGTTGAAGTGATGGTACTCGTAAAATACCGCCTGTTAGAGTTCCTTTTTTTAAATAATAGAACTTCAAATTGGAGCGCGCTGAAAAATTTTGCAATATTTCGATTTTAAATACCTGACAGCGATGTATCAGCCTAAAATAACTATATAAAAGAAGTGGAGGCTTGAATCATTTCAGGAAATCGGGCATATTATTCTCTAGCGACAAACCTTAAATCAAGAATACTCTCAAGAGGAACAAAAATAAAATATCAAACCATAATTATTTGCCCCGCAACAAATGCTCCTATATATAAGAGCATTTATAGGCTCCTATATAATTCAAGTGAATTTATTGTAGTAGATAGTACTTTAGACATAAATCTCATTTGACTTTAAATGAATTTTATTATATTATTGGCAAATAACTCTACCATAGATCTTACAAAAGTAACCAAAAGGGTTTAAAACTATTGTATTTTCTTTAAAATTGTGTTTTTTATAAAAATCTTATAATCAGGTATATACAAGTTAGGCTGTGCAATACTTATTTAGATGTATTATGATCTCCTTACGTGGTATTGACTAACCATTCGAAAGAAGGGATGCTTAATCCAAAGTCTGCTTCAATTACGTTTTTTCGATCGCTGGTTATTATCAATTGAATATGGTGTAAAATGTTTTTTTTATAAAAGTTAAAGAACAAGCAAAAAAAACTTCAAAAATTCTTGAAGCTAGTACTCGCATTACGGATCATGCATTTTCAAACTTCTTCAAAAAGAATACCATACAATTTAAAATTAATGATACACTGTTCACATGTTGGTGAGAAGCTCGCAAATGAACCAATTTATCATGGAAATGTATGAAATGAACAGTCCATTTATGACTAATATATCAGTAAATTTTTCGTGCTCACTGAGTTTAACAATGACTGGCTAGTAATGAATTTAGACCAAAAGAGAAAGATGATTCGTCGGAAATAATTGAAATGTGAGGAATTTACAAAAATATGAACAACTCTAATTTTTAATGCGTTAGATTTCGACCATCGTCTAACTTGCTAAATTGTTTGTTCGAGCTGTTAGACCGTTGTCTTCTGAGATTAGTTCTCGACGTTTCGCCAACACTAGGGGTTGGCATCTTTTGGAGATGTTACTGCTTCGATTGTAAACTGAAACTGATGGGGTCATATTTATATTTTCTACTCACCTTCCCTCCACTGGTTTCGGCGTGAGGGGAGTGTCGTCGTTTGTAGCGTTTGTTTTTTCGTGATTTGCAGGAAGAGTGTTTGTAGATTTTAATATCGGTATCCATGTTTTGTTAATTCTTAGCCCTTCTATCCGACTCAAATTATTTGGAAGCTTATATATTTCCACCGCTTCCCAATAAAACCGTGTGTAGTACTGTGAGATTTTATCCAGCATCTACGTTTCTTCTAAACAACAATGGCTTTTATGTTCGTTTATCCTTGTGTTTGGGTGTTTTTTTGTGGTTCCCACATATACCATTCCACATATGCATGGTATTCGGTATACTCCGGTATTCGGTATACTTCGTCATTTCTTCTAGAAGAAACAGCATGTATAGGTAAAACGTTCTTGCCCTATATATCGGAGTAACAGACAGAATTGGGCGAATACTTAATAAAAGCCAGTGTAAAGACCGTTTTCAAGCCAACAAAGAAAATCAAGGACTGTTTAAGATCGGTGAAGAACAAACGCGACCCGCTAGCAACGGCCGGAGTATACCGAATACCATGCACATGTGAAATGGTATATGTGGGAACCACAAAAAGACACACAAACACAAGGATAAACATAAAAGCCATTGTCTTTGAGTACATATTGACAAATCTGCCGTTGTCGAACACGATTTGGGAAGCGGAGAACATCGGATACTGTTTGAAGAAACGCAGATGCTGGATAAAATATCACGGTTATATCGGGAAGCGGTGGAAATATATAAGCATCCAAATAATTTTAATCGGATAGAAGAAGGACTAAGAATTAACAAAACATGGATACCGTTATTAAAATCCACAAACACCCTTTCCGCACATAACGAAAAAAGAAAAGCTACAAACGATGACACGCCGAAACCAGTGGAGGGGAGGCGAGTATAAAATATAAATATGACCTTAACATCTCCAGAAGATGCCAACCTCTAGTGTTGACGAAACGTCGAGAACTAATCTCAAAAGACAACGGCCTAACAGTCCGAACAAACAGTTTAACAACTTTAATTTTTGTTTGTATAATTATTTATCTTGATTGGATTATAATTTATGCGAAGCTGCTAATGTCCATGATGTAATATAGATTGTTGTACTCACTCACACTTTTAAATACTTTCACTTTGGTGCTTTTGGCATTTCTTTCTTGCCCAGGACTATTGATCTGTACATACTATACATTTTACCATTTTGTTCCATGCCTGCAAATATTTTTTTATCTAAATTCCTATTTCTTTTTTTTGATGTATTATTGTAGGTAGGTATTCAATGTTATTTCCATTTTTTTTGTCATTTACTTTACTCGTTTTATTTTAGAATTGACAGCCAGATCCATATGATCCTACATATCGCAGTATCTAGAAAACCATTGCGACAACCAATATTGGAGATAGGCTTCCCCTTCGCTCCATAATCTTTTTCTATCTCGAGCGATGTGCAATGTGCATCCACCTTGAACCATAAGGATCTACAGACCGAGAGTTATAAAATCCACGGCTTCGCGCAATCGTACTTGAGAGTACGATTAGTACGATTTAGTTTTGTATTCAAGGTAAAAAAATCAAGGTAAAAAAAAATTGGATACCTCGGCCATATTCTGAGAGGAAAAAAACACGCAATCCCTCAACTAATCATCCAGGGAAAGATTGAAGGCAAGAGAGGAGTAAGTCGCAAACAAATGTCGTGGCTACGAAACATAAAAAATTGGACAGGCATAAATAACACTGGGCGATCTTTTGCATGCCGCAAAAGACAGACGTCTGACCCCAACTCACTATAGGTACACGGCACTATAAGAAGAAGAAGTTTTGTATTTATAATTTAAACTCTTGTGTTTTTTTTGTGTAATTAGAAAATGAATTGAATGAATATATTTTAAATAAATTTGTAATATTTTATGCGAAAAGAAGAAAAGACTCAGATCCGAGTCGTGAGCATATTCCTTATATTTTCGTTATTTGTGTTAAGCGACTCGGATGTGAGTCGTTGTTATAATTATTAAAAAAAATAATTTACAATATTTTTATTAAATCAAATGAGAAATATTATAGCAAATCCAGAACTAAGGAGAAAACAAATTTTCATTTCCTAGCAAATTGTTTCTGAACACCTAAGATGAAAACTTCCAAATAAAATTTGGATAATATTGTAATGCATTTTATACACTGAAATTAAATTTAAAAAGAACATGAAAAAGTGGAAAAATAATACAAAATTCCCATATTTACCTCGAAAACAAAATACGATCTGGAACAAGAGTAACGGAAATGTTTAATTTTTTTGAGCTCTTCGTTTGTGTAGTACCTTCAATTTCAATTTTTTTCAACAATACTCGAATATTCCGATTTAGTACTCTCAACCTTATAAAAATTTCCAAGAAATTAATATCGGATGGAGTTTCAACAAGCGAAATGAAAATCCTAATATTAAACAGCATTGTGACCAGGTACAATATCTGACTTGTAAATGTAATGTAAATGTAAATTAGTAATAATTAGAAAGTCAGTACCAGACAAAACCAGCTTATTCAAATTATAGGTACCTACGTATAGTCTTTTATTAAAGGATTTTAATTTATTACCCTTAGCATACGTAAAGATTTTCAAGAAAATTAATATCAGGTTCAGTTTTCAATGAAACAAAAATCTTTAAGAGAATTGTGACTATGTAAAATACCTGCCTAACATGCTAATTAGTAATAAGAAAGTCAAATCGGCGGTTTTTACTCGTAAATTGTGTTTTTTATAATTTTATCGATAGAACATAATCTGCAGCGTTATAAAAAAAACGAGTTATTTATCTCGTACTTTTTTTAAGCAAGGTGCAATATTTAATTACTTAATATTATTATTAATATTAAAAACAATATTAAAAGCTTTAATAAAATTAGCAATATTAAAAAATTTAATATATTATACATTATAATATTAATCTAAATGAGTAGAAAGGATTAAATTTAAATTTGGCAAATTATAACTCCAGTCGACCAGCGCACGAATTCACAAAGTACAATTGCGCGAAACCGTGGATTTTATAAGACACTCTCGGTCTGTAGATCCTTGTCCTTGAACCAGCATGATGTTTTAGATCATGGACCCACTTCATCTGTGGTGTCAGTTGTTTTCATTTATTTGTCAAGGGTCTCCAATCTGTAATAATCTTATCACCCTTTTTAACACGTCGTCCATGACACGTTGAGAGACTTGTAAACACATGTAAACACTTGTTTAACACTTCTGTTTCAAGACATTTGTTATCTTATTCATACATTTATCCATTCATAAACTTTTTTTATAGAATTCTCACTTATAAAAATTAGATATTTATGTATTTCTCCTTTGTCTGAATCCACACTGAGCTTTCTCAAAGTTTTTTCTTTTATAATCACCCACATATAGACACATATGAATATAGTTATACACATATTTAAATATTACCATAACATACATTTTCATTAAACCATTAAAAAATGTCGGTTGTCAAACTGTTCAATGTGTTTTAAATGTATTCATTTTAAATTTATTCATTACCGAGGGCCGAAAATCCCTGAAAACTTCTATAATGTTTATTTTAATAAGTTACAGGGGTGAAAAGAAAAGAGAAAATTTAGTGTGACTTAATTTCATTCATAGGAAACTTTTTGGTATTTTTAAGGGACTTTCGGCCTTCGGTAATAATGCAATCTTTCATTCTGCGTTTAAATTTTTCAAAAATACTTTAGTGTCCCAGGATTCGAAAAAAAAAAAAAATAAATGCATTTAAAACACATTCAACATTTTGACACGCGATATTTTGCGCCTATACCCTTGAATAATAATCAACTAATTAAATATGCTTGAACTAACGTAAATCTATTAATAAAATATACTTACTGTACAAAGAAAGGCAAAAAAGGAGCAATTACTTTAATAATCAAACCAGGCAAAATATCGGCCAATAATATGGCACCTGTTGATAAATATGTGCAGTCTCGAGAATTATTTGTCTAAAAGGGAAAAAAAATCAAAATAAATATTTATTCAAAAAAAAACGCAGTAAAAAATCAACGATCCCTAATTTCACCTTGAACACGTAGGTACATTCTGATTAATATATATATATTTTATGATGTATATGTCCATAATTGTATATTTTAATGTGTTGTATAAATGTTGAGTGTTCAATGCTTACAAAAATAATCTCAACGACTAGTAAGTTACACTGAAGTATTGTGATATATTTTTTAAATATTTACATAATTGTTTTTTACAGTGTCTTGAAAAAGGAATAAAATAATTCCGAAAGCTCGACAAAAAGTCAAAAGAGTGTTTTTTATTTAACATCCCGGCCAATATTCTGACTGCAACCCTAATAAACTGTTTTGTTTGTTTATATCAACAGTCAATAATATCCAGTATTTCTTATATATATATATATAATATATATATATTATATATATATATATATATATATATATATATATATATATAATTGAATAACTTGGATAATAATACCTTTAACCCAGTCTGGTTATGCGAAAATCATCGATTTCACGGGAAAATTTTTCGCAGATATCTGAAGCTTTTAAGACATAGGTGGGGGTTACTAGATGACGAATAGATGAAAAAGTACTCGTATTTGTAAATTGATTTTTTGTCTATAAGTTTTTTCCCTTATATTTTACATAAACAATATTTATATAATTTTTTATATCAAGAATATCTTTACATTCCCGTTTTTTAAATTAAATTGATAAATAATTTTACATAAACAATATTTATATCAAGATTATCTTTATTTGCCCATTTTTTAAATTATTTGCAAAAAAAAACAGTTTTTGTTCCACTAATTTATAAATTTTATTAATTTTTTTTATTAACAAAATAAAATGTTATTACTACATTTGAACATCGAAGAATTACGGTCTTTTAAATTTGTGCGAAATTTCCCCCAGAACGCTCAAATAGTTTAAAAGTTACTTAATTTATTTATCCCTGAGGCTAAATATTGAAACTATTGAACTTGCTCTATTTACGATGATAGACACATTTAGCAAATTTCATAGGATTCTTTAAGACTTAAACTATCTCAGAAGTTAAATGCATATTGCGTTTTCATCGAAATTATTTACAAAATAAACGTTTGAAAAAGCGGTATGTTTTTTACTTATCATCATCATCATCATCCAGCCTCAAGAGTCCACTGCTGAACATAGGCCTCTTCCTTATGTTTCCAACCCGTCTATCTTGCGCCGCTCTTATCCAGTTTTTATTAAGTCTTCTTAAATCGTCAGTCCATCTTGTAGGTGGTCGACCGACGCTTCTCTTCCCTTGGCCTCCATTCCAATAACCTCTTTGTCCATCGCCCATCTGTCATTCTGGCTATGTGTCCTGATTTTTACTTATAAACAATTGTAATAACTTTCTATAACTATCTATATTTTTCAAGCTACAGACTTGTACGTACAACCATTGGATAGCTGGTAAACAAACTAACATTTAAAAAAACTTTCTATAACCACTAGGAACGAAGTTAGGGACTATTTTTAAAAAATTTTATCTCCATTGTTTATAAACATTAAGAAATAAAATTTGCACAAATTTTGAATGAAAATCTAAACTTTATATTGAATCTTATAGCTATAAAATTCATCAAATTTTTCGAAACTTAGAGCCCTTTGAAACGAATGTTCTTTCGAAAGATCGACATAGGAAAGTGGAGGGGATAACTGTTTTCAGCTCCATTTTTTTTCCAAGATCGGAACTTCACATTGAAACACGTAGGAAAAATTTACATTACCTCGGATTCCATTGCAGCTAGAAGCCTCTTTTTTTAATCTGGGGTAGCTTGTCGAAATATGAATAACTACATAGTTTTCACCGGCCGGGAAATATGGGAAACCTCGGAAAAATTCGAGTTTATTTGAAATTTACCTTAAATAATCTGTCGCAGTATTATTAATGATGACATAGCCCCTCCCCCCACGGAAACCTCGGAAAATCAACAAAATTATAAATTAAATTTCAGGCAATTTTTTACACATTATAATATTATATTCCTTACATTAATTATAATTATTTACTACTTTGACAATTATTTACTACTACTGTTTATATATGTGTATAGGTATATGTACAGTACGAGGTGAATGTACGTTTTTAAATCTAAATATCTCCAAAGATCACAGAGTATACTGTCCTCGTGTCCCTACATTTTATATGTATTTATGTGAATAGGAGAAAGGCCATCTATGTAACGGAAAACAGGTAATACATATATTTTAGTATGCGTAAAAAAGGGAACTGAAACAGTTACCCCCTCAAGTTTCCTATGTCGATCTGTGGAAAGTACCTTCGTTTCGAAGGGCTGTAAGTTTCGAAAAATTGAAAGAATTTTATAGCTATAAGTTTCAGTATAAAGTTTAGATTTTCATTCAAAATTTGTGAAAATTTTACTTCTTAACGTTTATAAACAATGAAGTTATGATTTTTTAAAAAATAGTCCCTAACTTCGTTCCTAATGGTTATAGAAAGTTTTTTTAAGTGTTAGTTTGTTTACCAGCTATCCAATGGTTGTACGCATGATACTAAGACAAGAAGATAAGATATTGCGCATAAGTCGTGACGTCATTGGAGAGTTTGACGTTCGACATGTCAGTTTGTTGTATGTATCAATAAATAATATTTAATAAATAGTTTGAAGATATCGTTATGTGTACGATTATTGTAATTATTAAACCTCTTAACTTATTTTCGTCTAGTAATTTCATCACAGAATGCATACAAATCCCATTTAACTTCTTTAACAAGAATCCAAATTCTACTCTCCAATGACGGCATGCGCGAACACGACCTATTTTGTGCTACGGGAAGATCCTATCTTGTTAGTCATAGTATCATGGTTGTACGTACAAGTCTGTAGCTTGAAAATATAGAAGTTATTACAATTGTTTATGAGTAAAAAACATACCCCTTTTTCAAACGTTTATTTTGTAAATAATTTTGCTGAAAACGCAATATGCATTTAACTTCTGAGATAGTTTAAGTCTTAAAGAATCCTATGAAATTTGCTAAATGTGTCTAGCATCATTAATAGAGCAAGTTCAATAGTTTAAATATTTAGCCTCAGGGATACATAAATTAAATATCTTTTAAACTATTTGACCGATTGGGGAAAATTTCGCAAAAACTTAAAAGACGGTAATTCCTCGATGTTCAAATGAATTAATAACATTTTATTTTGTTAAAAAAAATTAATAAAATTGATAACGTATTGCGAAAAACTTCTTTTTTGAAAATATTTCCGTAAATAAGTTATCAATTTTACTTTAAAAAAGTGGAAAATAAAGATATTCTTGATATAAAAAAATGATATAAATATTGTTTATGTAAAATATAAGGGAAAAGACTTATAGACAAAAAATGAAATTGTGACCATAATTTATTGTTTAAAAAAAACGCAAGGTAAAAATATGAGTACTTTTTCGTCTATTCGTCATCTAGTAACTCATACCTCTGTCTTAAAAGTTTCAAATATCTGCGAAAAATTTTTCGACTTTTTTTTTTAACCAGACTGGGTTACTTGTCTAATTTAAACATTATTCTGATGTGTTAATATGTTTTTATAGGTAATAATGAATGAAAGATTAAATATTTAATTTCCTCGGCTTGTCCCTAAAACGCTCCTGTAGGGGAAAGGACTAAAGTCGATGCAATCGCGAAACGCGGAAATCAAAATGCATTTTAAAGGTAAGTAGTGCAGCTTTCGTATGCAATTTTTGTATTTTGCCGCAAATGAAGTCAGTTTTTATAAAGCTGTTACGCGATTTTTGCCATTTTTTATGATTTTCTTAAGATCAATCAAATTTATCACTTTCATTGAGGGTTACAATGAAATTTCCATTGTTGGAGCCTAACCTTCAAAACCTATAGGATGAATGGAACTGAAAATGGAACAAAACAACTGCTGAAGGAGAGAGAAAAGGACGTCCAAAAAAAGAAATGGTTGGAAGCAGTAAAGCAAGACTTAATAGATATGAGAAATTGGAGAGAAAATGCAAGGGACCGGAAAATTGGACGCCAGGGACCTATAAGGCCTGCAGCGCTGTTGTATACATATTAAAAAAATGGTTAGTAAAACATGGATGAAACTCAGAACTGAAATGAGTATGAGGATTTTTCTTTACATTCTTTAAGATAGTCTTTTAATATGAACTAATAAAGTTAAATATAGGTTAAATATAGGTTAAAGAGCGATCTGTGTCAATGAGTCTATTTAAGAGAATTAACATGTCTGGTGATTTTGTAAACAATGGAAAAAACTGAGTTAATAGCATTGATAAAGTGCTTTCATTCGAAAGGCCATCAACTGAAATCACAGCAGATCGGTGTTCAATGCTATTGGAATTATTTTCTCCTTTTAGTGCTTCAGAATGTTTTCGAGAAGGAATTGATGGATGAAGTTCTCAACAAAGCGTGTCGTTTTGCCTTACTATACAAAAATGAGAACTTGCGCCTGGTGTTTTCTCTGGGCGTGTATTGCTAAATGTGCGAGGAAGCACACAGAGTGGGTATCTCAAGTTTTTTTGAAAAATTGTATATATATATATATATATATATATATATATATATATATATATTATATATATATATATATATAAATAATTGAGGAAGCATTTTACAACTAGATGGGGAAATGAACAAGGATGGGTGTAAAACTTGAGAACACTTAGGCCGTCCGCACATGAAGCTACTAACAAGAAATTAAACTAGTTGGTAACTAGAATTACCCACTGTTTACTTACTGTGACTCGCACACTAAGCTACTGGAAATTATTAGAAACGAGTCACTTCTTGCCTGTACGAGTAGCTTTGTTATAGGGTGTTTAAATTTTAACCTTTATATTATATTATTGAGTGTTATTATCGCGTTAAAAATGTCTAGTGGCTGAAGTGATAAAGATATTATTCTTTATTATTATAATAGAAGACGTAAAATGCAGAAAAAAGCGAGGTATTGGGTTCATCCCTACACTGCAAACAATATAAATTGCAGAGCGTTTGTTGTATAGGCAGGAATGTTTTTCCACTTCTTGCACTAATTTTATATTAAACGACTGTTCTACCAATTTCGCCATTTCGCGGGTAAACTTTAAAATATTACAACAAACTAGAAACTAGTCCCCAAGCGACCTGCACGTCCAGTCTGCTGTCGTCTGATCACTGATGCATTAGAGACCAGTTACTAACTAGTAGCGCTGTTTACGGATACTCAATAAAATACATGGACAGTAACTAATAAGCAACTGATTGGTAACTAAAGTTACCAACTGGTTTCTTTTTAGTAGCTTCATGTGCGAACGGCCTTGATCCATAGATTAAAATAGTGACAAGATACAAACGAAATAGCCTCATTTAGTAAATGAAGGGTCATGTTACCGAACCTGGTCAGAATTCTGCGATTGCAATGTAGAAAATTTCGAATTTGATTTGGAATAGGCTCATTCATTCTACTCCCCACATATAGCTCTCAGAGATTTTTATTTACCTACAAAGCAGAAAAAATTACTTTGAGGTAAGGTAGATTCGTCTAATTTAATCATCGTTATATCGTTTATAACACCGTTAATCGGTGTTATAAATAACTATTTCTAGTAATAGGAGTAATTAAATTACAATGAGATCATTGATAATTTAGGATATCGTTGAAAGAATTGAACAAGCAGGAGATTATAGCCTATAAGCCCATGGACATTTTTAAGGGGTCATTTGGCCCAGCATGAATCACATATAAATCAATACTACAATATCTGATACCAACTTTGGAAATTTTTATCGATATAACTGGCTACACAGATAAAGTAAACTTACCACTCAAGGAGAGAGGGGTAATTTGGACAAACATTTTTGTACGGCATTTATAAGTTAGGTAGGTAATACAAAAATAATGACTTGCGATCTAATGCCGAACCAGAAACAGTTTTCCCACGGAGGGGCCTCACAACCTGGATTATATTACTTTTAAAACCACATTTAAAACCATATTTTTTGTACGGCATTTTGTTTTTGTTGATAATTAATGTCAATATTAGCAGAATATATCATTGCCATACAGAAATTGTTGATCGTAATATCCCACTTATCAGAGGGAAATTAATTTTTCTCTCATAAGCACATGTACCGTGACAAATGTATGGCATATCAAAAAATGTTATTATTTTATGCAACGAAATTTAAATCAGTGAATTTCATATTGGCTTAAATGACCTCATTTGTACTACTTAAAAATTAAAGGTTGTGCCCTAGATTTCTCACCCCTGCACCAGCCGATATGTACGGCACTGCATTATTTTTGTATTACCTACATAAATTATAAATGCCGTACAAGAATGTTTGACCAAATTAACCCCCCACCCCACACTTGTGTCGATAAAAATTGATGGAATAGTTTTTAAAGTTATTACATATTGTAAAATTGATTTATAAATGATCCATGCAGGGTCAAATGACCCATTAAAAATGTCCTATGGGCTTGTAGTCTATTATACTGAAAAATAAAAGCACTATTTTGGTAGTATATGAATATACATAAACGATTTAGTCATATACGACTAAAGATTTAAAACAAAAAATTATACAACAGTAAAAGATATTAAAATATTATCTATCCTACCTCTTTAGAGGTGGTATCACCACCTGTTTCCTTGTTCTCACTATTTCGTTAGCTGCTGTCAACATGACAACATATCCATAATTGTTGCACAACCCAAGAATCCAATACGCGATTAACGCTCTAATCCTTCTAGTCTTATTAAACGTGGGTGCCGTCTCCTGGCCAGTTTCAGGAGGTACGATAGCAGCGCAGCTTTCGTAGTTATACGACATTTTCGTAAATCAAAGAATAGGCAGAAACAAAACACCTAAAATACAAAATATCAAAATATTTTACACGCATTATGAAAAGTGCTTATAGGCTTAAAGGAATATATTTGGAAACAAATCGTAACAACATAATTCTAGCCTATAGAAACAGAATGCTTTGAGCATCTCAGCAATATATCATCCTCCTGCGATGATAAATCTTACGTAGACAAAGATAGTCAGTCAATTATTACAGATCATGAAAATCTCTTTCAGTTGTACCCATTTTCTAGACAGAAACTGATCGATCTCCTGCAGAGTAAACTTAAAAACAAATCCTCTAGTGGTTTTGACGAGATACCTGCATTTTTGCTGAAATAGGTTTTACCTTTTATAATCAATCCTTTAACTTATCTCACCAATTTGTCTTTTTGCAAATCTACTAATACGGATTGATGCAGGGAATGTCCTATTGGAATATTTTGCGATCTTAGTAGGGCATTTGACTGTGTCAACCATGAAATATTATTTAAAAAACTAAAACAGATAGATATTACAGGAAATTCTTTAGAGTGGATTAGGTCATTTCTAAATAATAGACAACAATATGTGAGCCTGCAGATGAGGATCGAGGATTGTGTGACCAGTTCTAGATTTAGTCTTATTACAAACATGGGTGTTCCCCAATGATCTATAATAGGACCAATTGTCTTTGTAGTCTACATTAACGACATCGTACAAGTGAACAGAGCGGTAAATTTCACTATATATGCCGATGATACGTCAATTATTCTATCTAACAAATCCAACGTAATCCTACAACATCAATGGAATGATTTTTGTTCATCTTTATATTCTTGGTTTTGCGATAACTCGTTCTATCTTAATGCAGAAAAACGCAAGTTATACATTTTCACAAGAAACAAAAATACCTGGAAAATCTTCAGGTACATCTTCAGAACATGCAAATAGCTACAGTGTCGTCAGGCAAGATTTTGGGAATAACGAATGACGAAAGTTTTGATTGGAAGTTGCATTGTGGAGCGGTTGTTTCGAAGTTGAAATCCATTAACTATCTAATTAGAAATTTAAAATATGTTTTGACGGAAAATCAGCTAATTATGATATTTTATGCACTCGTGGATTCCAGACTAAGATACGGGATATGTATTTGGGGTACGTCTGGTTATGCAAATGGTATTTTCGTCATACAAAAGAAAATATTGCGTTGTATCGCTGGTGTCTCCCGACTAACTAGTTGTAGAGAACAATTTAAACAATATTAAATTTTAACATTGGCGTGTCTATACATTTTTGAATTATGTATGTGTTTTTATTTTTAACAACTTATCAGTTTAAAACGAAAGGTGATATGCATAACTTAAATTATAGATATTGTAATAAACTTTATATACCATTTTCAAAAGGTAACATTAAATTTAAATCGCCCAAGGTATACGGGCCACAGGTGTTTAATCATTTGCCCACAGTTGTAAAGTCCACCAGTTCAATAAATGCATTTAAGAGAAATCTTAGGCAATTTTTATGCGAAAAACTGTTTTATACAGTCGAAGAATTTCTTAGTCTTAGATATTAGCTGTATTTCATTTAGCTTTTAAATTCATTTCATGTCTTGTTTAGTCTAGTTTAGTATTTAGTTTTTAGCAATGTATATTTATGACTAATTCTATACAAACTATGTTTGTCAGAAAGAAAATAAAGAATTTGAATCTATCTAGATAAATGTCTCAGTAATAATTATTATGTAGCTGTGAATTATTCCTAAATCATTTTACTGTAAATTATTCGCCTAATTTTGGAATATTATTAGAAAGTTTTTAAACAAAATTAATCCTTATTTTAAAATAAACGATTTTCCCTCTTTGATAGATGTAACTAACAAGTGCTTTTAACACATTTTTGTGATAACAATACGTAATAAAGAAAATATGCAAAAGATTAAATTTTACTTATCAACAATAATAAGAACAATTTAAGATCGATATTTGATTTTATTTGATTTATTTGATTTACCAGTAACTTGTATACCCAGAAAAGTGATAAAATGCATACTGCAAAAAAATAAAATGAGAGTTTGAAAAGTTATTTTAGTTAATTTGTCGATTAAAATTAAAAGTTGATTTTTTGAAAATTATTATTGTTCTGAAGCTATTTTCTTGTGGCCTTGTAAATTAATTACTATTTAACTGGGAATAAGCCACAATTAAAGATAAAAATACGTTTATTGACGTTTCAATTTCCACTTCGGAAATCGTTCTCAAAATACAAACAGTAAATTAAACAAATTTTGTTTTTTGTTACATAGTGCATAATTCTTCTAATAATTTAATTTCATCTGACTCATTTATATTGACAATTCAGACATACATTATGCATTTTAAAGTAGACGACTTTAAAATGATATTGCCAATATAGTTGAGTTGCGCTCCTGGGACGACTTTACTTATAAGATAGTTCATTCGATTACATGAAATCAACTTTAACTTGAGAATATCCGCCAGAAAAAAATCATAGCATGTAATTCGTCTTTAAAAAGACAAACACATGACATGATGACAGTAAAATTCTCCTATTAGTGATTCCATAATTTTTAATAATGGTTTTTCCCTCATAATTTACTATTAAAAGCTTATCTCCTTAAAAGCTTCGTTAAATTTAATCAGTTGCCAACATCTGTAAAAAAATGTACTAGTCTCAATAATTTCAAACTGTTACTTAAAAATATATCAAAAATTTATAGTGTACTTTCTTTATATTGTATGTATATTAGGGTTTCTATTTAAATAAAGATCTATCTGTCATTCGCCACACATATTTTGCCTCCTATATGGAAAACACCATCTGTAACACTGATTTTTAAAAAAGGGAACAAATTGGATCCTAATAACTATCGTCCTATCAGTTTAACACCTATAATGTCTAAGATAATGTAATCTATTATTGCCGAGACAATTTCTGATTTTCTGCAAAATGAACTAGTTATACCAGAACAGCAGCATGGTTTTGTCAAAGGACGTTCTACAATGACAAACCTTCTCTGGTGTGTCAATGAATGGTCAAGAGCATTAGACAGAAAAAGCCGCGGTAGACATTATTTACCTCGATTTTGCTAAAGCTTTTGATCGAGTTCTAAAGCGAAGACTGTTACATAAATTGGAACACCTTGGTTTCCGTGGTCAATTACTGAAATGGATCGACGCGTATTTAACAGATAGAAAGTTTTGTGTTAAAGTTGGGGACTCTTTCTCAGTTGAGAGAACGGTTTTAAGTGGGGTACCGCAAGGATCAGTTTTGGGCCCACTTTTATTCATAGCGTACTCAAGTGATCTACAATTTCACATTAAATGCAACAAAGCTTTCTATGTCAGGAAGCTATTTTCCGATCCCTCCGTAAATTTCCAGTTACTACAAGATGATCTTAATTGTATATCGGAATGGTGCTCTACTTGGATGCTGCCTCTTAATATTGATAAATGTGTAGTTCTTCACATGTGTAAAAATCATCCATGTCTTCCTTACTCTATTAATGGGCGCGTGTTAAAAACAGTAAAATCACATAATGATCAGTTCTGGAATATTACGGAACTGTTTGGTGTCCAGTATTAGTGCGTGATCGTAATATTCTTGAAAACGTACAGCGGCGGTGCACTAGGATGTCTTTTGGTCACTCAAGACCTACGTATACCGAAAGACTGAATATGGCCAATCTCACTACATTTGAACAACGTCGACTTCAAGGCGATTTAATTATTACGTTTCGGATAGTAAAATACAACTTTGGAAATGTGGGGGATATGTTTATACTAGACAATGACAATCGTCTTCATGGCCACAAACTTAAGTTTAAAAAGGAAACTTTTTTAACAACAACTAGACAATTTTTTATATGTAATCGAGTGTTCTCGATATGGAATAGCCTTCCGGCTGAGATCATAGATGCTCCACCTGTCAATATTTTCAAAAATAAACTGGATGACCATTTGCTCCATAGTTGAACATTTAATCTGTACTAAACACTTGCTATTACCTATGTTTTTGTAAATTTATTTAGTTAGTTAGTGCTTAATATGTAACTATTGTAATGTAGCCATTTAATTGCACACTATATAACATTGCTTTCACACGGGCATATGGGTTTTGCGACCCCCGCTCAAATTTATTATAAAATAAAATAAATAAAAAGGAACACTAGCAGAACTTTTCAAAACAGATGGAACAAGACTTCTAAGGAACACAAAAAGAAATATGGAAAATGATCAAAGGGCAAAGAAAAGAGATGAACGAAGAAATAAAAACGAAACACATACAGAAGGAAATATGGCCACACGACTTTCGACCTCTTTTTGCTAAAGGTGACGATAATAACCACTAACACCAGCGGTGACGATAATAACCACTAACACCAGCGTTGACGATTAATGAAGAAATAAATATTGAGGAGGAAGGGGTAAAGGAAGCATTAAGAAACTTAAAAAATAGAAAATCACCAGGAGAGGACAGAACACCGAACGAACTTCTAAAGTACGGGGGACCATATCTGACAAAATAACTATTAAAACTAATCCAAAAAATAATAGAACAAAACAGAATTCCTCAAGAATGGAGATCAAGCATCCTAATACCCCTAATACCTCTCTTCAAAAAGGGAGGCAAATCGTACTTGGAAAACTACACAGAAATTAATTTATTAAACACAACACTAAAATTAACAACCAAAGTGATATAAATGAAATTATAACGCTAGAAGAAGAACAACAAGGTTTTATGTGTCTACATAAAAAGGAGAAGTTTTAAATAATATATTTGTAATGTTTTTGACTCAAGAAAGGTAATTGTAAAAATAAAAAGCATAATTCAAGAAAAATTAACACGTTCACATTTGTTTTTCAAATAAAAAATTATTTTTTTGTAAAATACATACAACTATAACACATAAATATTAAAGTTACTTATCACTTCATAACCTTTTCTGCTATTAATAATAACAGAAAAGTAAAATTTTG